GGGGTTTTCGGGCTGTATCTTAATAAGACAAATATATTGTTAGTGCACAGATATCATAACCACATGTTTATATAATGCCATTCAGTTAGTTCAGATGATAATCATTGCATTTACAGAACTTTTTCATATGTAAATGTATTTTCTCTGTGGCTCAGTGTGCTCCAGTGACTGATTGCAATTACTAAGCTTTTGCATATGCATAGCTTTAACAATGAACTTTCAAAGTAAAACAAGAACAATTGCACAAAAGAGTTACTCAAAAGACTGTTATGTAATCTCTTTATAAACTGCTATTCTTACACTACAAACTAATTGCTAAAAGACCCAGAATATTTCCATGTTCACAAATGATTGTTTGTTTTAGATCCCCACCATTATATAACAGACAATTACAAACATATAACATGATATGAGCTTTAATATTACATAATTACTTTAACATTGATAATAAATTGTAATGGTATCAATGAATGGTTGTAAACATATTGTTACTGAATATGACAACACTGATTTAACATGGATAATGGGGACTTTGTCACATTTGAAGTCTATTTTCTAAATGCATATTATAGATCTTATTGTGAACCATTCATCCATGCATGTTTTTTGTTTTGTTTTTTAGTTTTTGACCTTGTAATGTTTAATTAAAATGTCATACTCATAATTGGACCAGTAGAATTGATTCCAGTAGAAAACGTATTCTCTCTGGTGACCTATGTCACCAGATGACGTCTCCAATCATTTAGTGCATTTAAATCTAGGGATTGTAACGATGTGATACGATTCACGATACTGATTTCACAATACGATTGTCTCACATTTTTTTTTAACTGAATTAAATTTAAAGACAAATTATTAGAGCCCGACCGATATGGGTTTTTTGGGGCCGATACCGATATTAGCTACAAATTATGAATGAAAAGGTGTCCTTTTATATTGCTTGGACAAAATGCTTGACATTTCTTGTAAAATTAATGAATAATACAAATAAAAGAAATCTCTGCATACAAAGAAACTATGGCTTTGCCTGTGCTCTTTCCATTTAAAATTAGAGGCAACCCCTGTATTTTAATCATGAAACCAAAGAATGATGCTGCATACATGTTATTTAGATTTGAAGAAATCTGAAGCAAAAACAGAATGGTCTGACTTTAGTTTTGTGAAACTATACTACATGTCTGGATGAAACAAAAACAGCAGATGGGCTGAATGAGACGCAAATTAACTCTGACAGCAGGTGGCGCTTTTATGGAACAGCAGTTACCGATGTGCTGCACTTATAAACGCTACTTTAATATGCATTATACAGACGCAAGATGAAAAGAAAATACCATCTAAACTTTTCTGAAGACCTCAGAGATACATTCATATCAACTCCCACCCCCAACTGTATCGAGATTCGTTTAACATCTCAACAGATTTGAATCATCACATATTTGTATCGATTTTCAACAGGCTTGGGGTCCAGTGTTGCATTCCTACTTAAATCCACCCCTGCAAGCTCACGTTCATCTGCCTCCACTTTTGACAGCAACGCCCACATCTCAAAATCCAATCAACAATCAATGCATAGAACCAAGTTCACACCCTACATGTTTTCTTTGTCCATAATGGGTTACACTCAGACGTACGTCACAATATGAAAAAAGATCTGTTGCTACTTTCATTTTGTAGTGACATTAAATGCTGATAAGATGCGCGTAAAATATCGTATGCGATTAATCGTGCAGCCCTACATTAAATGTATACCTGTTCAAACAACATTAAACATGTAACTGTCCTTACAATGCCATCCCATTGGAGAACTCCTCAAAAGCCTGGCAGTAGATAGTTATGGCCACTCGTGCATCAGAGTCAAAGGTGAACTCCACTCCATATAAGGCCCTTGGTTTTGATCCTTCATCAGTAGGAGTGTCAGCGTCATCTTTATACCTATAATCACACAAATTTACATTGAAAATGCAAAATTACTTAAAAGCAAATACACCAATAACAGAACAAAAAGCGACTACATGCAGCACAGAGATCATTTGTTCTCAGGATATGAATGTTTATATTTTATATAGTAATCCTGAATCAGTACCTGACCAATCGTAATGAGTCTTTTCTGATGTTGACAAGACTTCTCAGTGTCTTGACTGGCTCATGGGGTGCCGGAGTAACATAGGGAAACTGTGGCAGGTACCGCACGTGAAAAAAAAGAATAAAATAAAGGAAAAATTAATATTAATATTTTATTCAGATTTTTATTTATCAAATGCTTTTAATGCTTATCAAATGCTTTTATCTAAAGCCAACACAAGAGTTCATCAAAAAGAGACAACAGTGGAAACATCACAAAACCAAGTCTCAAAGCTGACAACACAATCACAAGGCATTCAAAATTCAGCTGTACCTGCACTGGGCGGTTACCAAGAAAGTTGAGATCCATGTTCTCTCCAAAAAGGTAACCCTCTGGATGAGGAGTGTCAAACTTCTCTCCTCCCATGAAAAAATGGCTGGCAAAATAGTTTCCTTGGGGAAAGAAAATAGTCATTATCCAATCTGACACCTCTAACAAAATGTATAAACAGAGTAACACCATCAGTGAAGGCATTCTTTGTCATTTTGCCATCGTTTACACTGGTATTAAACTTTGTACATACTAATCCGGTTTCATATGGATTTTAACTACATCATTTAATCAGTTTGTTGACAGTATGACCTTATTAGATAATGTTTAAAATGGGAGCTTATCTGAGCTCAAGAAATCAGTCTATTAGAGATGATAAGTGTTATCAACTAGAAGGCAAGAGCACATAAACGTCGCCTTCTATCACAACAGTCCATCTTACCTGATTTTGGAGGATATCTGTAAGCAGAATTGGCCTGGATGTCGATGTCCTCAACACCAGCAATTCTTCGACTAAGAATTGAACCCATTTCTCCAGCACAGTCCGATCAGAACAAACTAACTTAGCGGTTATTATATGTATACAAAACAGCAACACGGCTGGTTAAGTGAGCTAACTAGCTAACCTTAGCCGCGTAAAAACAGCAACAGCTCCGAAACGAAAAAGTGTTCAAATTAACATGACATGTGTTTGATCGGCATTTCTTTTCTTCTGAGTCGGATCAGATGTGTCTCGTACAGTCGTTTGTGTAATGTTCAGTTCAGTCAGCCGGATAGTCTTGACACACTGGCTAACTAACTGACTAGCAAGCCCGCCAGCACCTAGCTAGTCACGAACTGGTACTCAATAAAACAAGAGGTGAACAGGCATATTAAACACACTAAAGTAAATTATAAAAAGGAATACAAAAGACCTGCAGGTAATTTTGTCCGTGGTGTTTTCTCCAAATAATAATTGCCGTTTTCTTCGTAAACACAACACAAGGAAATCGTTGTTACGAGGCGACCCCGGGAGGGTTGTAGCATATCACCACGTGATTGGCTGAGCTCGTCACGAGACGCGTATGCTTGTCCAATCAAAAGAGCACAATCTTCTGCGATTGTCTGAGCTGACCATGAGAAGTCTGTTTTCATCTAGTCAAGAGAACACAAGCTTCATTTGTCATCTCACTGATACTAGACAATAATATATTTTTGATAACCGAAAAGATCTGTAAGATCTATAAATATAGGTATAAAATATATAAAAATCCACAATGATTGGCAGCAGTGATGCATTGCTTATAGTTAGAGTAAAATGACCTTATTTATGAAATGGAGGGATATTTCCTTGTTCAGTGGTCAAAATATAACTGAAATCACACTTGTTATTGTCTATCAATAAAAAAACGGGGACAATACATTTTGTATGTTGCGGGTTCCATATACTATTATTATTATTATTATTATTATTATTAATTATGATGTCTGACCCTAACTGGTTGTAATACAATTCACCAAAAATCACACTACGAAAAACAGTAAATAGTAAGCATTTCAAAAAGCAAAGACATCAAAACAGTTTTATATTATAACATGACTTTACACAAAACAAAACACATTACAAAAATAAAAACAAAATAAATATGAGAGTGAATGGTAAATAAAACTGGATCTAACAAATATGTTTAACATGTTCTAGTTGTATTTAATGTTTTCATTTTCACAAACTGTGAATAATTACAACTTTAACTTTTTAAATGTTATTTTATGTTTATGCTTTTTGAACATGGATTTTGCTATTTTAAACTAGGCTTATTGCATTTTATTGCATTCTGAGCACAAAGTATGTGCTTTCTTCAAATATATATATATATATA